TCTCTCTCTCTCTCTCTCTCTCTTTCTTCTTTGTATCTTTTCTTAATCGTTTCTTTTCTTTTTTTTTTTTTTTTTTTTTATTATTAACGTTTCACAGGGATGCAAGCATCGGAGCTAGAACCTTTGGTCGGGGGAACTGGAACGGACACTATCGACGGAGTGGTGCCCGAGGGCGACGAGCGCGAGGAAGACATGCCGGACTTGAAAATAGCTTTCAGGTCAGAGTTCAAAACGATATATAATTCGACCTAGCTTATCGAGCGCAGTTCCTTATGCGGTATCGCATGTTCGGACGACGGGGTTCGAAAGGAAGAACAAGAAAGCATCTACGACGATATCCTAGAGTCGATTGTGAAGCGTTTCGCAGAAAGCGTTAGTCGAAAACGAGAGAGAAAGAAAAAAAAAGAAAAAGATACGTCTCAATACCCTACAACCACGATTGATTCTTTGCAGGGGTAAAAAATCAGGTAGGACCGTAAGGATATCGGATGATAAAGGGCTGAGCAAACCGCAGGAGAAACCGTTTCCCACTGCTGAAGTCATCGAGCTTAGACGACTCGCTGACGAGTACAAGGTAATTGGTTGGGAGCAGAGATGCCACCATTCCATTCCTTTCTTTCGTGGATATTCATTCTTCGAGTTTCGATACGAAACTATATATTCCCTTCCCTCCTTTCTTAGTGTCTTTCATCTCTCGAGTGTTTCCCGATGGGCTTTCGTCGTCCATAGTGTACCTTTTACTGTACGTTTTTGTGTCATTGTAAATATTTTCAATTTCGCCCGCGTCGCAATCGTGTAAAGGTGAATCGATCGTCGTTTCGACGAGTTCGTACGAATTTGCATGCGTTCGTCTTACCAATTTTTCCAGAACAAAATTTCCTAAATACGTACGTTTCAATTACAAATTAATCATCTTCACAACCGTACGCGAGAAATTTCAACGTATTTCTTTCCTCGTACACATGCATGTTTTTATTGACGATGAAATCGATTGAAATCGGTGAGAATTTGTTTGCACACGAAACAAAATGTGCGTGTCTAGCATTTCAAAGCATGTTCCCTGTATTCGTCATGTGTGTGTGCGCGCGCGTGCGTTAGTGCAACTAGAAGCGCGTTATATAGCTATAGTGTCTTCTAGGAAAATGAAAAGCAACAGAATGATTGGTTCTCATTTACATTAGCATCGCGACTGGGGTTGCGGTCTGGCAGCCGAGGACGAGGCTTCGCTGTGGAAACGAGTCTCCAGTAACCACGCTCTCAACGCGCTGTCCCTTGCCAGGCCAGTACACTATTCCACTCTCAAACATCATTTTCAATGTCGCTTGACGAAATCGAAATCGACAGTAAGAGATGTTAGTTTAACCCGATTAATAGAAATGTAAAACGAAACGATCGCTCGTTCCACGGACGGGAAAAAGAAAACGCATAACGATGAACGAATTAATTAACGAATAAGAAGGTCGTTAGAAATAATTGTAACTGTTTTGATATCAAACATAATGTTGGACATACAATTACTTTATTACTCGTTGTGACTACACGATTTAATCGACCATTTTTCATGTTTACACAATAGTACAAGTAGTACAGGTGTGCGCAGGTAGCGAATTCAATCGGCGTGTTACGTTAAACACGATTAAATTTTACTGTGTGTGTGTGTCATGGCATCTTATAAAACAAAAAAAAAAAAAAGAAAAAACGACATCGATGAACAATTGGACAAATTCTGTCGTTCATTGTTAAGATTCGCTAGCCCAATTATTTTAGAGAAAAAAAAGAAAAAAAAACAACAAACATTTCCATTCATACACGCGTACAGACATTCGCACAACTCGAGTCAAAGAAAAGAGAGAAGAAAAGAAAAGAGTCAAACGTAGTTGTACAGGGAATGAATTCGCATCTTTCACACGGGTTTTGTCGTAGCTGCCTTTTATTTCTTCCACGCGATGTGTCTTCTGCCTCGTGCCGAATTGCAACAGTACGGGGGAAAAAGCCAGTGACGAATGATTGCGTATTTAGGTCAGTAACGAAGGAAGAGAAAGAAAAAGAGAACACGAGAAAAGTTGCTCCGGTTACCGCCGCGATGACCATGCCTCCTGCAGGTCGACCATCTTCGGTTCAAGCTAGACCCATTCATGGAATTTTGCAGGATGATTCTAAAGCGGTATGTGGATCATTTCAGTTTCAGTTACTAACAGCGTCGTCGGTTTCATTCGACTCTACGTGATATTTATTACACACATTGTCGAACAGGATACGGAAAGAGCTATTGCTCGCGCAAGAAAAGATTTCTTGATCCGCCATCATCTGGATCGTACTACTGGCGTGGGTAAGTGTATTAAAATCAATTCCCAAACGTGGTAAAAACTTTGTGAATCATTTTTTTTTTTTTTTCCCCTCCCTCCTGCGTTACAACACAGGCGATGGTGCACTGCTTCCCTCTCCAACGAGAGAAAAGTTGGAGCCCGTAATACCACGACGTCGAGAGGAAACGAAAGAACACCGCGAAGAAATTCAGCCTAAAACGAAATCCAGCCCTAAGAACAGCCCAAGAACCGGTCGTTCGCAGAGTCTTGGTCCAACTGTGACGGAACGTCGATCACCTAAACGTCAACCGCCTCGTGCGCCTTCCGTCACCAAAGATGCCAAGGTATTATTAATTTAAACGAAACATCTTTTGTACACGATATCCGAGCAACAATTTATTTCGAGAAAGATTCAAAATTGAGATATAAGATTGAATTGCTTCGAAATAATTTTTTAATCCTCTCTGATGACAAAATTATCGATCGAATTCCCTTTGCTTTGCTAGGAAAAGGAGAAGGAATCAAAGGACAAGGAGAAAGAGCAAAGGGAAAAAGGCGGTGAGCCTGAAAGGCATCCACGACCGAGTAAGTAAGATGAACGAGCATCGATACATCCTTCGTCATCTCTTTGTATCGATATATAGTCGATCGATTTAGTATTTCAAGAGATCGCACCACCAAATCGATTGGCGCTCGTAATTTTGTTACGAGTTCCTTTTGCATTTTCGTGCATATATCTATCATTGAATTTTATTGGACAGAAATCCATACATTATATCTACGTATATATATATATACATATATTATGCGAGTTTGGTCTGCTGTTTGCTCTTGTGAGTCCCAAAAGCCAAACCGTTCGTCATACCTGATCGTATTTACCCTATTCGAATCGTGTTGCAAAAGAGACATTCACCGCTATTAAGAGTATTACTAAATGTTTACATTTGTATTTCTTTCTTTTTTCTATCAAAAGATCAATCAATAATTATGAATCGATCTATATTTTCTTTCCTATTAAATGGATAACTCTTCAAGCGGTGTATGTCCAATACGTTAACTGCCAAATGGTCGTTAATGTTTAGGCATATGCATGACACTCCTGTTTAATCGTTTCTATATCTCTGTTTCTGCCTTTGAGCCCACATCTATAGTAACTAGTAGACCTATTGATTGTCCGTACAGAAAATTTTGCGACGTGTTGTCTTCCCCTTTTTCCCTGAACGGCCTCCGGAAACCGTGGAATAGCCTTGAACCAACCGTTCGTTCCTTGTTATATTAGAAAGTTCGATGTCGACCAGACTGAAATAATGTCAATCAAGTATAAATCAAAACCAACGATAAAGGTATCCCATCTTTTACGAACCATAAAATGAAAAAAAAAAGTTTAACATCTTTTCAACAAAAATGATCTACTACATCGACGTACTCAATCCAAGTATCATCGATTGATAATCCTTGTCATATTGTTTTACGTATCAATAATATCATTTCATATATATATATATATACATATATGTACTTGTTAGTATCATGATTTTTCATCCTACGTGACGTCTCCTCGTTCATTCGTAATCACCACCAGTCACATCTCTTCGATCTACCATCGTCTTTCATCATCTATCGTCAAGATCGTGTACTCGACCAAATATAATCATCGTCATTATGCCTCATCCATTGAACCATCTATGCGGTGAGCAACAAGCATTCGTACGTTAGTCGTAATCGCATCGCTTCAAACTTCATCTCATCTCTCAGCTCTTTGAAATCAAAAGCGTCTCACAAGAGAAAAGAAAAGAAAAGAAAAAAAAAGAATCTACGTGATTCGATGTCTGCCACGTGCTTTTTGATCGAAATCACTGGATAGATCATCGAGATAGATAATACTTTGATAAAATAAACACCCCTTTGCCTCATCCTTCTTCCTTCACCCACCCCTACTTCCAATCCCCTTTTTCTTTTTTGTTTTCAATCTTTGCCTCTCTTTCTCTCTGTCTGTCAATCTATTCAGTCATTAATCAGGCTAAAAGTTGCTCGCGCGAGATCGATCGCGATCAGATCGACGATCGTGTCCGAGCATTGCGATCGGATTGATCAGGAGTGGTAGCGGGTGTTTCAGTCACGGGCCCTGGCCGCGTGCGTTGGAGCATACGGGAACCGTCGACGGTTTCCTCGACGGGTTCGTCGACCAGCGTGCCACCATTACCGCCACCACCCTCGGGCCCAGGGCCTACTCCGTTCTACAGGAGGTCCCCGCAGGTCCATCGGAAATGTACGTTCTCTGTACCACGTACCTGCTGCCCGCTAGCCCGACTTTCACGTATTTCAGATATCTCTATAACCCTTTACTCCCGCACCAATTACCATGGTCACTATTTATACCTTTCACCGTAACTAACTATCTCTATCTTTAACCCTTAAACAGTTTAAATGATTAAATATATAGGAGATAGAATGTCGAGTTGATTGTTAAATGTTAAATTACACGAATTTGTTTTATTTAATTATCCCGTTTTATTTCGATTAAACTGTTAAAGGGTTCGATTGAATCGCTGAATCGAATCGTTGCTCTTAATACATAATAGTAAACGTGATGAGAAACTTCTTGAAACGTTAGGATTAAAGTCGAATTTCTACTAATGATTATTACTGATAATAATTGAGATACATTTCGTATGGTCCAGTTTGTGGGTGAAAATTTTTTCTTGTTTAAACGATTCCCGAATCGTTCGCAAATCAAAACTTCAACAATATTTTAATCAAAACTGGTTTCTTTTTTTTTTTCCCTCTCTTGTTCTAACTGTTCAAGATTCATCTATGCTCGAATATTTTTCGAGATTACACGCGTCGTTTGTTCGATCGGTTCCAGGATGATTCGAAACAATTTTCAAAACAATGATATTGAGACTGACATTACATGTATATACCTATATACATTTATATATGCGTATATACCGCAATGAAATTCCGCGGCCAACTTTCTCGTCTATTGTGACGCGATACACATATTGCGTCCATAGCTACTACTAAGTGCGAGGAAACCTCGATATTCGAGTGTGGACGTAATTCTGAGCGGCTTGATAATGCCGAAATATCCTTCAGCCCTCGTTAACCTTTCCAATAAAAAAATAAATCTCAACATATGCGATACAACCTTGCTTAAAATGTATTATAATTAATATGTTGAAACGAATCAATTGATCATATATATACATATAACGATAGAAACTTGTCGATATTAACTGGTATTTCGAAAAATATTTCGAAATATTTCGATCGAATACTCGAGCTATTTCATACCGTGATAGATATTTTATATTTCACATTATTGCGAATGCAACATTTCAAGCAAGGTATTGCGCCAATGAGAGCTGTCTTACACGTAAATTCCCTTAATCGAAACGACGCTTTATTCATCATTGTACTTTGTGTACCGTATGTTTTAGCCTTCCTCGCAACCACAGCTCCCCCCTATCGCCCCCTTCATCACATCAAACCCTCGACCACTACCACAAGTACTACCACAATTACCACTACTACTACCACAACCACTATCACTACCACCACAAACACAACAAGTACAAGCGTAAAACCCCCGGTAAAACATTCGATTCATACGAGTGTCCATCACCCACCTACGTCGAGCGCTGCTGCTGCGGCCAGGCCGGACCGTGTTAAAGATATAAGCCGATCCCACCAAGGTCCAAACGAAGCTCAGGCAAAAACGGGCCGCGACCAGTCAGCTGCGGCTGCGGCCGCAGCCGCCGTCGCCGATCCATCCAAATCATCCTCCGATAGTCGATACGCGTCAAACCAAGCCGCTACCGCCGTCCAACCTAGTAAGTAGCATGCTCTCTGTCAGAAAAAGACCTGTGTTCTTCTCCGTTGCCTTTTATATATATATTTATATATATATTTATCCGCTCGAACACAATTAACAACAGTGCTTTCCGTGTGTTCGTTGGTGTCGTTATTATCGTTGTCGTTATTATCATTGTCGTAATCGATAATCGTTGTCGTTATCGTTATATCGCTATCGTTGTCTTTGTTATATTTGTTATTATTATATACGTATAAATACTTTTTTCTCACCCTCTCTTCTTTTCTTCTCTCTTTATCTATCTATCTATCTCTTCTTCGCCTCGATTATCTATTCGTTTTACCAATTTTTCTCCACTATTTCTCGTTGATTCGCTACTCGAATCCCTAATTTTTTTTTTCTACTTTCACACACACATGTTCTCTCTCTCTTTTTCTCATATGTATCACATATATTGCTATGTATCTCCTTGATACTCTTTCGGTTCGGAGCAATGGTGTTCGGAAGCGAAGCTATTCCTGAAATTCACACTTTAATACGGTTCTTTTTCCCGCGCGAAATAGAGCGCCTACGAGTTCTTCCTTTCTCGTCACGCTTTCATCGTATAGATTGCATATAGATCGTATACACAGATATATGAATATATATTTACCACGTTTTCACTCGAATCGGACGGTTCTTCGCGATTGTGTTTTTAAAACTACTCTCTGCTACTTGTCTCTACTACTTAATGTATCTACGTCGTATAGCTGTCAAATCAAGGGATTCGAGATAGCTTTGTGTACATCTGATTGTGATCTATATATATTTTTTTCACTGCGCTGAATTCATCTCGCTAAATTCGTTCCTTTGTGCAATAGCCGGAGCTGTCGACTGTTTGTTAGATCAGCTTTTCGCACCAACACCCGCGCCTAACCTCGAAATCGAATCGTCACTCTCTAAAGACTCTTGAACAGAAAAAGGAACAGAAAGAAGAAAAGAAACGTGTGAGAGTGTTTAGAACGTGTCAGGTGACCGTTGAACGTAAGTGTGTGCTTCCAACGATGATTATGATCCGTTTAGAGAATTTACGAAAATTTTCTTTCACAGAGAAACAAACACACGATTTTACTTAGTTCGTAATATGCGTATTAAGCAATAACCCTGTGACTTTCTCTTCGTTCTCTTTCTTTCACATTCTTTTTCTTTCTATATTTGTTTTTCTCTTTTTTTGATCATATCTGATTCGCAGGATTCTGCTTTTTGTCGAACACGGAACTACAAGGGGAAGCAGAGAAAAGAGGAAAGCAGATTATCCGTGATATTTCACCGCTCAGTGCAATCGAGTACATAAATGTGCGATAGAGAGAGAACAATAGCCTGTATGCTAGAGCCCTTTGTCAACCTGTTGCGTGGCCGTGCAATACAGCTGCACATTTACACACATTCTATACGTCACACCTAACCTAGTATTCTTTCTTCTTCACCAATCTCTCTCTCTCTCTC